AATATAGCTGCAAATTATTTGATGATTCCAAATCGTTCAAAAAATGATACATCTGTCCCTGTATTCTAAAAGTATAGACACCTTGATTGCGCTGACTTAGCTCTTTATCATAACGCACTCCGAGCGACGTGAAGGCAAACTGATTATTTATCGTTCGAATACAAGCTCTAAAAAATTGTGCCTCAGAAGTATTTGATAAAAGAAGATCCTTCAAAAGATGAGGTATCGGATGAGAGGCCAATTTTATAGTGCCTTCAGAACAACAACATTTGATGGTTTCGTAAACGATTTTTTTCGCACCGCAATACCTGCAATTAGGCTGTGTACGCAGCATATATGCACTTGTAGGCACCCTCTCTAAAAAGCGACGACCGCCATTGGGCCTGGCAGCTAATAAATGTAAAAGTAGAATGAATTAACAAATTGAACATTCTAAAAATAAGAGCCTGAAATAAACAAATGGCAAGATATGAAAGCTACATGTGATACATGTATTACCGCCATGACTTGTTGAACTGGGATCATGCACGCTACCACGGTGTGCGGAAACGTCCCCATCACCAGCAGTGCCATATAAAACGTTGGGAATGGGATAGTCACATGTGCGTGACAGTATGGATTGCTTGTGAACACAGGGCTGCTCATCAGATGTTTCCGGATGCTTCGCACCAACACAAATTTTCGGGTATTCACATTCTGCGCAGTATGATTAACACAAATTTTTGGTAGACCCAATAAATCAGTCCATACCACGTCTGACCAAAAATTCCAAAGCAGCAATCCAACAAGAGTAACTGACATGTACCTGATTCTACTGCACCAATGGCAGGATCTCCGCAGGTGGTTTCTCGTGTACATTGATGTAGCCCAACAGGTTCAGCCAAGAAGCTCGTTGAGGCTAACAAGTCGGGTGCACCTAAAAACAAACGCAGCAATTGACACACGAGAAATAAAATTCAGTTTCTTTAAACACAACACATATCCTAAAAAAGACATGAACACATAATTACAAATAGGTGAAGCAAGAAAAAGTACGAAAAAGCTCATCAGCAAACCAAAACAACACACCAACAAACATATAAATCGTAATAACATCTACCGCTGTTGAAAATTAACCGGCAATAGGAAAGTACTACAGGCCCTAGGCATCAATTAGAATGTACCTGCACGCATGATTGAACGACACATACTTGTTGAAGATACGTCATCCGCACCTGACCTCCGTGATTTCTTAGCCACCCACCTCTGTAGAGCAGTTTCTCTTTCACGGCGGCGTGCAGGAAGTACCGGCGTGTTCTGGGCTACTCCACTAACGTGCAACGGCACATTCATGTCTGATAAGACAAAAACTAAAAAACATAAAACACAATGTGAATTTAAGAGACATTTTGAATTTCCCAAAAGCAAGAAAAGCAGTGCACATTTTATTAAAGGACAGCAGCGCCCCACGATGAATTAGAATGCACCTGAACGCGTTACGGGACGACGAACACTCGTCGAAGAATTGGAAGCTGCAGCGGACAATTTAGACTTCTTTTCCCTCCACCTTTGTAAACCAGCCTCTCTCTGGCGCTTTTTTTCAGCAACATCGTTTCTTGTTTGCGATGCTCCTCCGCAGTGCAAGGGCATATCTTCATCAGCTGACATGGTACTAAAGTACGAAAAACAAAAGATCAATGTACGGTGATGCATTTCCAGCAGTAAGCATCAACAGTATAGAACAACACAAGCAAAAGAATTACAAAAACACACAGCGTGCGACAGGAAAACAAAAGAACACAACACCAGAGAAAAAAACACGCAAACCCCGTCAATTAATAAAAAATTCCAAAAAAAACTGTCAAGTGTAAACGCACAAATTGGCCCTAAACTTCAGCTTGTTTTTAGTGCAAAATTTTCCATACCCGTTCTATTTCGTCACTGACCGAAAAATGCCGCCGGTCGGTTTCCTCACAACAACGCAACAGTCACCCCAAAAATATTATCACGCGGGCAAAAAAATAAAATAAAATTGAGGGATGTATCGAGCGAGAAAGGCACAAAAAGAAGAGTCAAACAAAATCTAAACAAAATCTAGTGAAATCTAATCAGTACAGAGACGTTTAAGACATAATAGAGAGAAGACGTACGACGTCCCAGATTTTTCGGGAGGAAATCACGCAAAATCTACTGCACCAAAGAAGAAGGAGGCCAAATTACTCGTGTAACCCATAAAAGCAGAATAAGCAGGGGCACTTCAGTCAGAAGAGCAAAATACATGAAGGAAAGGTAATTTGCACAATTGTCCATCCAAAATTGTGTCACTCTTCTTTCCAAAGAGGATACCTAAGTAATTGAGCTAAAAAGGGACACTTGTCAGGCAAACAAATTGCCACTTGTCGTCATATGGTGCCTTTTATATGTTCATATAATATAGTAGAGATATATATATATATATATATATATATATATATATATATATATATACCGGTACAGTACTCGTGTACTACACGGGTATATGTAAAAAAATTATATAAAATTAAATAATAATAATAATAATAATAATAATAATAATAATAATAATAATAATAATAATAATAATAATAATAATAATAATAATAATAATAACAACAACAACAACAACAACAACACAAATTGTTTTAATTTTTCAATTATTCGAAAAAAGTATATTATTATTTATATTTTAAACGACATCATCACTTACACGGCTTATCATCTTATATTATAATTTATTTTAATTTATATCCTATAAAAACTTTGTTGTTAAATTAATTTAAATATTTTTTTTTTAAATTAATATTAATAGGTAATTTTATTTTAACTATAAAGATAAATAAATTAGTTATTTATTTTTTTGTATAATATAGATATTAAATCGAAGCTCATCAAGACAATATTAATTTTATATATTACATATAAAAATTTGTTAACAAATAAAAAGAATATTAAATTTTAAATATATTTATAACATAAGTTTGTAAATTTGTTATAATTTTAAAGGAAAGATTGAAAAAAAAATGATACCATATAAAACACGTCTACAACAAGAAATAGAATTAAAACATAATTAATGCTTTTAAAAGGGACCATAAATATCCAACATATTTATGGTTGTTCCAAACCTAGTTGGATCGGATTGGAAATAAATTAAAATTCATTCAAGCCAAACACCAAAGCTCGAAATTTGCCACATGGGATCCCGAAGCGTGCAAGCCTGCCACTTACGCTCAGCACATTGGAGAATTATATATAGAGGGTGAAGTGAATAGATTCCACCCGGCTCCTTCAACTCGAACGGCCTCCGCACCTGCAGAACCCAACGCCGGGGGTGGCCCCGGCGTCGGGCCTCCGATGCTTAAGTCAGTGTTCAGTTCAAGAGAGAGAAAGTGTAGTAATGTAATGAGGAGAGAATGTAGTATAGAATGAATAGTGAGAATGAGAGAAAGGAATACCTTAATCTCCCTTTTATAAGGGAAGTGTACCTTTTGGGCCCAAGTTGGGCTTGACCCATATCGCGGTGCTATATGCCTTTTATCCGCACGTGGGTTTATTTTTCCATATATATCCATTTTATCCATTAAATCGGGTCCAGTATAATATCCTATATCAGGTCGAGTAAGCATAACTCGATCCAAGAGTGAAATGACTCTTCGAGCCGTTTTCTTCAACTTACCCTTAAGATCGAGCATCGAAAGTCGAATGATCATTTAACCACTGAAATGTCCCCCAAATGAGCTTTGAGATTTCAAGATCGAAGACTGAAAGACCACGGAGATCGGAAACCGAGAGTCGAGACCGTGGAGGTCAAAAACCGAGCGTCGAGACCGTGGAGGTCGAAAATCAAGAGTCGAGACCGTGGAGGTCGAAAACCGAGCATCGAGATCGTGGAGGTCGAAAACTGAGCGTCGAGACTGCGGAGGTCGAAAACCGAGAATCGAGACCGCAGATGTGGTCGAAAAGCAAAACCGCGATGCCACTGAAAACGAGAACCAAAAACCGAAAGACCACTGATAATCGCCGATATGGTCGAAAAACATAAACTGAATGACCACTCCCTCAAATCTTGAATTTGAAAATTTGAATTTACGTATGTTGTCTTTCGATCACCATGTTCGAGCTCTCTTATACCCCCTCGTCCTATCGCCCCTCAGTTCAAAATTTAAATTTCAAGCCTGTTGTATATCCTCTCAAAACGCAAACAACCTGATTTCGTGGATTGCTCTGAATGAACTCCTCGACCTACCACCAAGGTCGAAAAATAGATTCGACAAGACCAAACCAAGCAAAAACCATCAACCTGCTCGAACAAAATGAATATACTCGACCCGCCAAAGAGGTCGAAATAAGCAAATTTGACAAACCAGAATCTATAAACAACCTGCTCGAGCAAAATGAATATACTTGACCCGCCAAGGAGGTCGAAATAAGAAAATCCGACAAACCAGAATCAGCAAACAACCAAACCAGAATCCATAAACGACCTGCTCGAGCAAAATGAATATACTCGACCCGCCAAAGAGGTCGAAATAAGCAAATTCGACAAACCAGAATCCATAAACAACCTGCTCGAGCAAAATGAATATACTTGACCCGCCAAGGAGGTCGAAATAAGCAAATTCGACAAACCAGAATTCATAAACAACCTTGAATCAAGTGAAATGCAATCAACCTGCTCGAGCTATCCGTAGCGAGTTTGATCGACCTATCATTGGGGTTAGAAACACGGTACCACAAAATTAAGTCGAATGAATCCATTAACCTGCTCGAGTTACCCGTACGAGGTACTTTGGTCTTGTCACTCGCCCACCCCTTGAGCGGGGTGTTCCGAAAACGAGCGACCCTTGCCCACCCCTATCGTAGGATCAGGGGTGTTCCGAAAACGAGGGACTTTGGTCTTGTCACTCGCCCACCCCTTGAGCGGGGTGTTCCAAAAACGAGCGACCCTCGCCCACCTCTATCGCAGGATCAGGGGTGTTCCATAAACGAGGGACTTGGGTCTTGTCACTTGCCCACCCTAAGGGATGTTCCGAAAACATTGTGGTCGTCCAACCCGGAGGCGTGGACGTTGTCGACCACATGCCCACCCCTTAGAGTGTACCGAAAACAAGCGACCTTCGCCCACCCCTTGATCGGGGTGTTCCATAAACGAAGGACTTTGGTCTTGTCACTCGCCCACCCCTTGAGCGGGGTGTTCCGAAAACGAGCGACCCTCGCCCACCCCTATGGCGGGATCAGGGATGTTCCACAAACGAGGGACTTTTTTCTTGAAACTTGCCCACCCCAAGGGATGTTCCGAAAACATGGTGGTCGTCCAGCTCGGAGGCGTAGACTTTTGTGACCACCTGCCCACCCCAAGGGGTGTACCGAAAGCAAGCGACCTTCGCCCACCCCTTGAGCGGGGTGTTCAAAAACGAAGGGCTTTTTTCTTCACTTGGACGACCTGCCAAAGAGGTCAAAGGGAGAAACACCAAATATAGCAAGATAGGATAGCAATCGATCATTTCCGTTAGTGTTTTCAAATGTGTAATTGCATTGAACAAGATAAAAAATATCAAATGTATTCGACCTCCCTTTCCTGGTTGTACATGGTAACGTATGCTCGAATTCTTTGACCTGCCACTGAGGTCGACAAAGAAAACATCGAACACAACGAGATATAATAACACCCAATCCTTTTGTTAGTCATCGAAATAATAATCCAAACATGCCCATGTACCTCACCATGCCATCAATTTCGCCAAAAATGCTCAAACACTCATATGTGTCGATCAAACTCGACCACCAAATCAAGAGTTGAGAATAGTTTTGTACCTGAAGGTCGAGAATACCACTCCAACTTGTCTTACCTCTCCAAAAGAGAATGAATTGTTCCTTTGAGATTGACACCGGTGATCGACCTCATCTATGCTCTTCCTCCATGATGAAGTGAATAAGATTCACCCACCTTTTATGGATCTATGATCGTCCACCATAGCTCGTCCCGACTCGGGTTATTTCGTTGTTTCCTCGACAAGAATTCAGAGAGACATCATTATCCACATTATATTCAAGTTATCCGTTTTGCAATGCTCCATGCAAGAAAAGCAAGAGATCAAATATAAATATCACCATCTCCTCGACTTAAGACATGCTCGAGCAATGACATGTTTAAAGATTATGAATAATCAATTTGACATAATTCCACATTTCCACACGAAAATCGAGAATAAATGGTCTAAGTGCATAAAGATATCCAATTATATAAATATAATCCATGTCTTCGAGCAAGTCAGATAATTTCGCAATCCAATCAAATAATCCTCCATAAATAAACCAAATAACATCTCCTCGAATAATTCAAATAGTGCTCCAATAGATCACATATATTCCCGAGCAAATCCAATAATCAAATATTTTCACGAGCAAATCAATTAATCCAACACGAGCAAAGCAAATAATCCTCCATGAATAAATAAAGTATTCCACTCGATTGAGCCAAATGAATCAAATAATTCTTCCATTTTTGTGAATTTAAATCTTCAAGTCCGTCATTTAAATGAGCCTCGTACCTTCATCGCGATAGTGTTACCTAAATTTACCTTCCCGGATTAGTCTTGGACATGAAATGATGTTGTTAGACCAAGTTAGTACCATTATGGCTATTTCTA